ATCTACGCAGCTTTTGGCGTAGCAAACTTTGCTAAGCATGAAGCAAGACACACGCGGGCAGACAGCAGCTTCCCAGGAACTTCGATAGATTGAGGAAAGCGACCGTCATCCAGCGTGCACAACCTGGAATTCATTTTCTTTTGGTCAGTGGCTCAGAAAAGTTAAGCTTGGTACCGAAAATATACAGCTGGAAAGCGCCTGGAACTGGCGCTCGGCAAGAAGCAGTTAGGTGGGTTGATTGTGTGACCCTGCAGTGCCTGGGACATCTTTCCTGCGTTCACCGGCCTATGCCCTGGGGGTGACCCTGCATTTCCCCTGGTCCCGGAAGCGTCGACTTCCTGGGTACTCACCTCGGTTGACGATCTTGCCGAAGAGGTGGGGCCCCGGAGCAGTGGGGCAGTTCCAGCGGCGGTTCCGGAACTGCCACTTGCACTCCCGGACTGCGCTCTGCAGCCCACCGCTCACGCTGTGCAGGATCCCCGGGTTCTGGCGGATCAACCGCCGCTGCTTGCGGCTCAGCAGTTGCAGACTGGGCTCCAGCACCAGCTGCAGACTCTTGGAGTCGGTTAGCAGGTTCGTAGAGGAGGCTATGTTCACGATACCCCTGGTGGGACGCACAATGGGAACTCAGACTGGGGAAGGGGACCTGCACTCTAATCATAAAGAAGAGTTTCTAACCTCACTCCTCAGAACTAGGAGTTTCTGAACATACCAATACACAGGAGCATGCACCTGACCTTTGGGAATACATACCAGGAGAGTTCGGGGGAGATCAATTATAAGGTAATGTCTTTGTGCTCCCAGACTTACTAGTATGAAAGAACTGGGTATCCAGACTTTTGGGTGTCTAGTAGTCCTAGGGGATTCTCAGAGTCCTGGGTCCAGGGACTGCACAGAAGAGTCATGGGGAACATGGAGACTGCAAGAGTACCTGGGCTTTCCCAGCCTCCTTCTGATCAGTACCGGGAAGAAATCCTGACCTGCAGTTCTTGCCTAGGAGTGAAATGCCCAGGAGTCCCACCCTTTTCGGGTCTCCTTTCTAAGTGAACACCTAGTCCTTCACTTCTGATCTTTGGAAATCTGTGGCGCAACCACGAGTATGAGGTTAAGACTGGGGCTCAAAAGGGAATGACAATCCTAGATGGGAGTGGGCTCCCCGACTGGGTTATGGTGGGCCTCTGCCGGCAGATCATTGATCCCACTTCATCAGAAATGGAATCTCTGGGGCTGATGATACAGGTCAATGGTAGACCCATTGCAGAAGCATGCCCGAGGCCCTGATCCCTAACCCCCCCCCCCCAAAAAAAAAAAGGAAAGGAAATGGAATGGAATTTCTGGTGCAGCTCTGGGCTAGAGCAACCTTTGGTGTGGCAGAAGGAAGTCAGAGATGGGGCAATGTCTGTGGACTGACGGGTCCCAGAGCATAGGAGCTGGATAGGGTTGGCCCCTGGCTCTGTCCCCCAGAACAAGAGGCCACCACCCGACACCAGCTCACTTACCACCATCGGCCACTGCTGTTGGCGGCCAGGGCAGCGGGCAGAGCGGCCAGCACCAGTAGCAGAGTAGCAGAAACCCAGCTGGGCAGCAGCGCCCAGCGCCCCATGGCCTGCCTGGCCTGGCCGCTTCTGTGCTGCAGTTGCGGCGGCTTTGGCTGCTGCCCGCGACGGTGGGACCGGACGCGGCGGTGGCGGCGGTGGCGAGAGTTCGCAGTCTGGCTTTAACAACCCCGGAGGCGGTCGGCGGGCAGCATGGCTTGTGGTCCCGGCTGGTGGGCTGAGGCGGCCACGGAGGGCGGCACCGCCTCTTATACTTGCGGCGCTGGCTGGAGTGACGAGAGAAGGCTGCCCAGCCAGGCTGCACTGTGGCACCAGGGCGCACCAGTCAGGGGCGCAGACAATGGGCAGCGAGCGGGGCCGTGGCTCCCTCCCGTCTGAGCAAAGAACTGACGGGCTGACCGTCGGGGCTTACTCCCCCCCCCCGCCCCCTGCCCGGTGGCCCCCGCCTCCAGGCTTGCACTGGGCGCCGACCCCTCCCCTTGGGACGCCCTCCCACGCGCGCGCCTGCCTCACTACTCTTCGCGTCGGGAGCCCGTCGGGGACCAGCATCCGCCAGGGGGCGCGGGGACAATGTGCTTGGGGAGAATCCCCCAGGAGCCCAGACCGCCTCTCCAAGCGCGATGGGGCTGTCCCCTCGACGTCACCCTGGCCCCACTGGTGTCCCTTCTCTCCCCCATCCTGAGTGGCGGAAGGAAGGAAACCTGTGGTTCTGGCCAGAGACTAGGGAGATGCTTTCCCACCCAGGAACCCCCAACGTCTGGACAGAGAAGGAAAAGGGGGAGACAGGGACGTGGGTGGAGCTGTGGTCAGGGAAATCCCGAGGTTAGGATAGGGGTGGGCTGACCAAACAGAGCCTGGCTGTGGAGAGAAACCTGAAGCAGCAGCAGGTTGCACATGTGAGCCAGAGGAAAGCACAAGTGGCTGTGTGTGTGTGCAAGTGAAAATGTACACTGTGTTCTGAAGGTGCATGCTCCTGTGTATTGATATGTTCAGAAACTCCTAGTTCTGAGGAGTGAGGTTAGGAACTCTTTCCAAAGAATTTTGGACTCAAGTCAGAAGAGATCATCAAGTTTTGTTTTTTTTTTACAGTTGCTGCCTGGGGCAGTGTGTCAGGAAGGAGGTGGCAGCTATGATAGGAGAAACCCAGAAGCTTGACTAAGGGATGCAGAGTGTCTGGTACTGTTGGAAGGTGGGTGGATGAGTGTGTGCATGGGAAGATTACATATGTGTGGATGTGTCACAGTCACCCTGTGTATCTTGTGTCATCCTACAGTGTGTCACCTTGTGGTATGTGTCAACCTGTGCATATCACTGGGGGAGAGAGCTGAACCTACAATGAAGTGGGTATGAAGATGAACCAGGCCTGAATGACTGAGTCTTTGATGACTAGGATTAGAAAGCGTGGGCAGTGGAGCCAGCCATGGAGGCTGCACATGCCAGTAATCCCAGCTGCTGGTGAGGCTGAGGCAAGAGGATTATATATTTGAGGTCAGCCTAGGCAACTTAGTGAGACCCCCTTTCTCAAAATAAAAAATAAAAAGGGCTGGGGGTGTAGTTCGTGGAATGTTATTGAATTAAACCCCCAGTACTGAGAAAAAAGTAACAGAAAAAGAAAAAGACAGGGTGGGCAATAAAGTAAGTGTAAGGTAAGGGAGGACTAGGAAGAAAAAGGCTGCTGACTGAACTGAACCTAGATTAGGAAATTTGGCCTCTATGTGTTTGCTTCTCTCTGGATTTTGCTACCAAGTTACTGTGTTCTCCTAAAATTCTGGTTCTTTCTGCTCTCACCACACAGTGGTGCTTTGAGTGCCCAAGATCATCTTAACAATAGTACACTTTTCTCTCCCAGGGACTTCAATTCAACTTCATGGCCATCATGGTTTTCTGTTGAAGAAGTGGTGCTGTTCCCTGTGTGGGGCATAGGGGGCACTGCCAGCTTGGTTATCATGCCTCAGTGTCACTCAGAGATGGCTCCTGGAGGGAAAGAAAAATCTCTTCTTTTACCTCTCTCCTCTCTCCCATTTTACAGAGGACCAATAAGTGAGGCAGTTGTACAAGGTCACAACTAATAAGTGATCAGCAATACAGCCCAAACCATTTTGACTCAAAGCTTATGTTCTTTCTTGTTCCTCCATTTCCCAGGAGGATGGAGGAAAGAGGGGAAAGGCCCTAGGTCTGAGTCACATGGTATATGGTCTGCTTAAATTACTATTTTGATCAAATCATATTTTATCAATTGTCCCCTCTTTCTTTTTTAATTTTTTAAGTTGTAGATGGACACAATACCTTTATTTTATTTTATTTTAATGTGGTGCTGAGGATCAAACCCAGTGCCTCACACATGCTAGATGAGCACTCTACCACTGAGCCACAACCTCAGCCCCCATCTTTCTTTCTTACATCATCAATTTATCTCTCTTTTGGAACACATCTATCAACATGCAAACGCTGTAATATCTTCTATCTGAAAAATTCAAATGCTTTGTTTGATCTACATTATTGTCCAAGATTGCCCCATTCCTCTTCTTTTACTACAAAACTTGAAATTTTAATTTTAATTCTAGCATCAATTTATTTTCTTTCTACTCAAATTACATCTTTGCAGTGCTAGGGATGAAACTCAGGGCCTCATGCATACTAGGCAAGTGCTCTAACCACTGAACCACACTGGTAGCCCCTTAGAAGGTCTCTTTTAAAAATTTATCTCCTTCTTTTTAGGTATTAGTGATTGAACCCAGGGCTATTAACCACTGAGATACATTCCCAGCACTTTTTTGTTTACTTTTGTTTGTTTGTTTGTTGAAACAGGATCTCACTAAATTGCCTGAGCTGGCCTTGAACTTGTGATCATCCTACCTCAGCCTCCAGAGGAGCTGGAATTACAGGTATGTGCTACTGCCCTCAGCTCCAATCATACCTTTCAACTCACTACACTTCTTTATCAAAACCATTAATGAAAATCTGTATTGCTCTATCCAATAACCAATTCTTAGTTCTTATCCTAGTTAGCCATCCTGGAACAGCAGACACTGCTCAACAACAACAACCACAACTACTACTACTACTACTACTAGTTCTTCTTCTTCTTTTTTTCGTACCTGGGATTAAACCCACAGGTGCTTTACCACTCAACCACATCCCCAGCCCTTTTTATATTTTATTTAGAGACAGGGTCTCACTGAGTTGCTCAGGGTCTTGCTGAGTTGCTGAGGCTTGCTTTGAACTCGTGATCCTCCTGCCTCAGTTTCCTGAGCTGCTGAGATTACAGGTGTGTGCCACTGCACCCAGCCACTTCCTTCTTCCTTCCTCTCATTTGTTTTTTTTTTTTAATTTTAATATTTATTTATTTTTTTTTTAGTTTTTGGCAGACACAACATCTTTGTTTGTATGTGGTGCTGAGGATCGAACCCGGGCCGCACGCATGCCAGGCAAGCGCGCTACCGCTTAAGCCACATCCCCAGCCCCTCTCATTTGGTTTTGAAATACTATTCCTATCTCAATGGCATCTTCCCTTTCAGGGTCCTTACCTGGATGCTCTTTGTTTACTGAATTTCTAAACACTGGAGCATACCCAGGTTTAATTGACCTTCTTTTCTGTCTTCATGAATTCCCTTGGTAAACTTTCCAGTCTTATGCTTCCTAATTTATATCTCTAGTCCTGAAATATGAACTTACACATCTAACACTTAAATAGCATCTCAAAATATACCTGTGCAAACTGAACTCTTGATTCCTCCATTGCCTTAACTTGCTCTTTCTTCAGTCATTTCCATCTCAGTAAATGGCAACTCCTTTGTTTCAGTTGCTCAACACAAAAATCTTGGAGTCATCCTTGACTCAATCTGCTTTATACTCTGAGTTAAGCCATCAGCAAATTCTGTCCCTCAATCTTCAATAGGTAGACTCTTATCCAATCTCACTACTCTACTGCTACATGCTAATAGGAGCCACCATCAACTCTTGCTTTCATTCCTGTAATAGCCTCCTATTTGACTCCTTGCTTCTAAGCTTTTCCCCACAGTCTGTTCCTGTTCTCCATATAGCACAAGGGGCCATCCTTTCTAAAAAGGAAGTTAAATAAGTTCATTACCCAGCTAGAAGTTTTCCAGTCATTCCTCATCTCACTTGAATCAAGCCAAAATCTTTACAGTGGTCTACAAGGCCTCAGGTGATTTAACCCTGTTCCTTCCTAGTACTCCAACTTTGTTGCCTACCATTGTCTCCCTTATGTATTCCTCCCCCTTAGCCATACTGACCTCTTTGCTGATTATTTGAAAATAACAAGAATGCTACTTTTTCAGGGTCTGTACACCTGTTTTTCTGTCTTCTGGAATGCCCTTCCTTAGATATCTCTATGCCTTTGTTCCTTCACTTCCTCATCTGTCCCCTTATATAAAATAGAATCCCATCACCAATCTCCTTTATCCTGCCTTATTTTTCCCTCTGTATCATCTTTGACCACAGATAACATTGTGTGTGTGTGTGTGTGTGTGTGCGTGTGCACACATGCACTGGAGATTAAATCCAGAGCCTCAAGCATTCTAGACAAACACTATGTCACTGAGCCATATTCCCCACCCAACCACAGATATAAAAGCTTGAAATGAACCAGGTATGGAGGTGCACGCCTGTAATCCCTGTGGCTCAGGAGGTGGAGGCAGGAGGATCACGAGTTAAAAGCCAGTCTCAGCAATTTAGTGAGGCGCTAAGCAACTCAGTGAGACCCTGTCTCTAATAAAATGCAAAAATAGGGCTAGGGATGTGGCTCAGTGGTCTAGGGCCCCTGAGTTCAATCCCCAGTACACCCTCCTCCCCCCAAAAAAGCTTGAAATGGAAAATCAGGAGAAAACCACCCTCCTGGAGTAAGCATGGGGAGAGATGTTGGAGGGAGAGGAGCCTTGTTTTGACCTTGGGATATGGGAAGGAAGAAGGGAATCAGGGAGTTTTGTGGACAGAGGAGTCTACTTCCTTTGAAGCAACTGCCTGTTAGGCTGGAAAGGCACAGCCCATCCATCAGCCCCCTGTAGAAAAGGGAGCAAAATTCTCTCTAGGGTAATCCTGAAGATTTGTTGGGGCCAACTGCCAAATGTTGGGGGGCTTCCCCAGAGACCACCAGAATCTGGCTCTGGATACTTTGGTGCCTCCAGGTGGTAGCCTGTGGTGCTGCAGCAGAATGTGTGTGAGGTGGAGGGTAGGCAGCACAGCTGAGCTCACCACCAAGCGAGCGCATCCATTCCTCCCGGGCCTATAATTTGGGTTCCCCTGGCCTGGCCGCCCCTATCAGCGGCTTAGCAACAGATGAGTCACCCAAGACCCCGGGCCAAGGCAAACATGAGGGGAGGAGGAGGAGGAGGTTCCCGAGGCTGTGACTGGGTTTAGCCACCGCCTCAGTTACTTGATTCCCCCAATCTCCAGGGGCCCCCACTTTTTTCTTTGACCCCCGCCCTCCAGGGCCCCAGTGTTCTTCCCACATTGTTCTGTTACGCCCTCCATCCTCATGAATGGAAGAGCAGCCCTTTATTCTTCTCATTGAGAGGAATGGGGACCAGCTTGCTCCCACTCCCTTGCTGCAGTGATGACAGACCCCCATTCGCCCCCTCCTGTCATAGCCCCAACCCTAGTCAAGGTCTCTCTGGTTCCTGCCCCTCCCCTTTCCTGGAGCTGGCCGCGTGCTTCGGGTATTAGGCAATGGGTGTGCACCCGCAGCCCTCTCCAGGCCCCGCCTGTCCCACCGCTCTCTAGCTGCCTGCGGGTCAGTGCTCAGGCCAGCCGGTCGGGCTGAGGGCACTGTGGGCCAGCTCAGGCCACCCAGTCAGCCTGCTTGTGGCCTCCTATCCCAGAGCTAGGCTTCAGTGAGGAGAGGGAGCAGGCATATGCATCCTTGGATTTGAAACATCCACCTTGGACAGCCACCCAATCACTGAGATGTTGAAACTTATGGCAATAGTTCTGACCCCGGTCCCATCTTGTCACCTGCCTGGAGTCTGAGGATAGAATCAAAGGCAAAAACAAAAACAAACTAAAACTGGACAAAATCCAAAACTTGAGGGAGACCAGAGACTCATGAAGAAATACAAATGTGTATGAGGTCCCCATGGAGAAAAGGGGCATAGGAAACTTCATTACCTCCTCTTCCAGGGACCTGGGTGGAATCCCAGGCTGACATGAGGAAAAAGGATGAGGACACTGGTAGGAATCACTGAATCCAGGTGTAAGGATGAAAGCTACAAGACAGGGCTTTCAGATTCTGGTGACCTCAACAGTCACACGTGTTTGGGTCGCATCCTATAAATAGGAAGGCTGTTCAGGAGTTCTTGGCCTTCTTCTTCCCACCCCAGAGATGGGGAATAAAAGAAAAGCAACCATTTGTGGTCCATGCTGTCCAATGTCAGGAACTATGGCACTTACTTCCCTAGACTGTTCAGTATGTGCCCAGTAAACATCCCAGTAGATTTAAGTTCCTGATTTCTCTCAGACTGCTATGCCCCTTAGCCAGGAGTGCCCCCTTCAGCATAAGGCAGGACCTGCCACAGCACAGACTCCAGGCTGGCTGCCCAGCAGAGCTGTTGCCACCACCAAGGAAGAGGTGATTGTGGCTGTGGGTATCATCTCCGTCCTTCTGCTTACTTGGTTGGGGGGCTGGTCTCTGAGTCAATGCGCTTGAGTGCACAGGGCCAGCAGTGCCTTAGGCTGTGGTCTGGCAGGGGCTGGGGGCGGTTGGGAAGCCTGGGGCCCCTCTCTGGCAAAAATAGTCCGCAGTGGTTAGAGCTACTAGGGTGAGTCAGGCGGGAGTGCATCGGCGACTAACCCCTTCGCTGCCGCTGGAGCTACCTAAGGCATTTTGTCTTGCTTGTGCACCCCAAGACCAGATTACTTCCCAGCTCTCCCTGAGCTAGGCTCAATTTGGGATTCTGAAGCACTCCTCAGCCCATGTGAAGCAAGACTGTATTCCTGGAGCAGGAATACAGTCCTCCCAAGTGCAAAGCCAGGAATCCACGAATGATAGGAGACCTCTTTGGGCAGTATGCCTACGGAGGAAGACAAGCATAGGCGCGAGATACAGATCTTTGGGGCTACCTGAACCTTTTGACTAGAGTCAAATTCTCCCAGGCGGTTGGGGTAGGGTTGGGAGGTGGGCAGGAGCCAAGCCACTTGGTCTCATTGGCTTTTTCTGCAGGTACTGAGTGCCCTGCTGTGTGCTCACCTTGTGGGTTCTATAAGTGACTGTCAAACGCCTGAAGGAGAAGATGATCCAGATCCCTCCTCCCCTTGTCAAAGAGCTGTCCACCCATCCCACTGTCGGTGGGAGAAACTGAGGCAAAGAGCAATGAAAGATTTGGTCACTTGGGCTGGGTCCTGGCTCCCTAATCTGGGCCAGGCATCCTCCCTATACGTCCTTAGTGACCCCAGAGCAGGTGAAAGAAACTCCGGCCACCTCCTCTTTCAGGAGGACCAAGCGTGAACCCAGGCGTCGGGGGAGAGGGTGTGTGTGCGCGCGCGCTGGGAAGAGGGGGAGCGGCTGCGTTCCCCTAGTCAAAGGGGGGTGGGGTGGGGATGCCCCGGGCTCGGGGAGGGGCCATAGCTTCGTCAGCCCTAGCAGAGCCACCCGTCAGTTCGGCTCGAGCAGAGCCAGAGCCCCCAGTGCTTTGCTCGCCCGCTCGTTCGCTAGCCCTTTCGATCACTCCCTCTTTCCCTCCCTCCCTTCCTCCCGGCGGCGCTGGGGAAGCGGCGAAGAGGAGTGGCCCGGCTCTGGAAGAATGCAGCTCTGCCGAAGGGGCAGAACCCGTCGCAGTCACCCCACGGTTTAAGCAGTCCGAGCGGAGCCCAGGCGACCCAACCGTGTGGGTCACGGACTCTGCACCCGAACCGCTGGAGGTAATCGGACATGGGAAAGCAGGAAGGGCAACGAGGCGCGCACCCAGGACCAGACAGGCACACGGGTAGTCAGACAGACACATCCACCCATAAGAGCACAGACACGCAGAGAGCCAAAGATGTTGCCAGAGATAAAGACAGAGAATAAAGGAGTGCTTCCAGATTTAGAGGGCAATGAACACCAAGGCAAAGGGGTGGGGACCGAGGCTGGAACCTGTGGGGACCAGACGGTCGCAGGCTGAGGAGGGGAGCATTTACTTAGGAAAGGGTGGACAGAGAAGAGGACCCAGCTTGCCACACCATCCCTTGCTGGGGAGCACCAAGTTTCCCTCCTCTTTTGCTGCACCTGGAGCCTCTCCTGTTTCTCTGTAGTGCAGGGAGGGGGTAGAGCTGGGTGGAGAGCCCAGTCTTCGACCTTTCTGAAGGAGCTTGCCTGCCATTGATGGCACCTGGAGGCAACGCCCCCCCTCCCGCCCCCAGGTGGTGGGGAACCCCCTCCTGATCCCACCCCCTTAGCCCTATAAGGGTGGGGAAGCCCGTCTTGGGGCCCTTGAGGAGGGAGCAGAGGGAGCAGTGGGTGAGGTCCTGGAGCAAGTGTTTGCAAGTCTGTATTTGCATGTGAGTGTGTCTGTGTGCCGGGCATTGTGTCTAACTGGACTGGGCTCCAGGGGCCTTCGGGTGAGTCCTTAGTTGGGTGACCTGGACTCTTTCTCTTCCAGCACTCCAAGACTCAGGGACTCTGGAAATCAAGGGGGTGATTCTAATTGCTTGGTTTGGAGAGGGGTGAAAAGGGTCAGTGAGGTTGGCACCGGTGGCTTAGGAGACCTAAGTAGGGCATCCTTCGGTTCCCTGGGGAGCAACCATATTTCAGAGCTAGCATTAAATCTCCCTGTCCCGCAGGCGCTGATCATCTGCGCACCGGAGCCTCCGGGCTTCGACATGCTGGAGGAGCCCCGGCAGCGGCCTCCGCCCTCGGGCTTCGCGGGTCTTCTATTCCTGGCCTTGTGCAGTAGGTGAGCAGATCCCCCTGTCTTCCAGACTACGAGAGAAGCACTGACCTGGCGTGGGGAGATTGGGAGGGAGGTGTGCGGCCTGATCCACAGATCCCAGACGCCTTTTCTGTTCCCAGGGCTCTAAGCAATGAGATTCTGGGCCTGAAACTGCCGGGCGAGCCGTCGCTGACGGCCAACACCGTGTGCTTGACGCTGTCGGGTTTGAGCAAGCGGCAGCTAGGCCTGTGCCTGCGCAGCCCCGACGTGACGGCGTCCGCCCTTCAAGGTCTGCATATCGCTGTCCACGAGTGTCAGTACCAGCTGCGCGACCAGCGCTGGAACTGCTCGGCGCTCGAGGGCGGCGGCCGCCTGCCGCACCACAGCGCCATCCTGAAGCGTGGTGAGCCTGGCGGGCGGGACCGTGCAGCAGCCGAAGCTAGGGGGTGGGGGGCAGGCTGAGGCGAGCGGAGGCGGGAAGAGACCGGTCCATGGCTTCGGGAGGGGCCTCTTCGGGAATTCCCCCCGCCCCAGCGCTGAGCCGGGTCTGGCCACCCGTCCGTCCGTGGCTTTGCAGTCCCGATTTCCACCTGTGCGCTGCTGGCAAGGCAGCTGGGTCCCTGCTTCCCTACCCCAGGGCCCCCTCTTTCCTGCCTCTGCCCAGCTCAATCTGGATTGCACCTGTGAACAAGAGATGCCCCCAGCCCTGGAAGCCTCAAATTTCCCCTGTTCCCTCCCCTATTTTTCTCTCCCCCTCCCTCTCTACCGGGACAAGCCCAGGCCAGTGTCCCCAGCGGGGGTGGGGTGACGCCCCCAACCGTTTAAGGGTTAAACCTGCTCCCCTAATTGCTGGGGTTCCCAGGAGCCAAAGCTGGGAACAAAGACCCTGATGGCTTTGAAGCTGGGGAGCAGCCCCCTCCTCTGTGCTGTGGGGAGCCCAGGTGTCACTCACCTGAGCAGGTGAGGAACGATGGAGGGACAGAGAACAGGTCACTGCTGGCCAGGTCTGGAAGGGATGATCTGGGAGATTTTATTGTCAGTACCTATGCCTTGCTTAAGTTTACTCCCTGAGGAGTAAAGATCCATGGGGGCTCAGCCTGGGGTGGGTGTAGTGTTTTGGGGACTATGGGGTTAATAAGCAGCTGCCATCTGCAGGGGAATTCCCAAGACTTGTGCAAACAGCTTCACCCTTAGAGGGTTGGGATTGGGGGGATCAGGAGGCTGGCCTGGGAGCCCTGAATCCCAGTGTAAGAGAGACCTGGCCTCTAAGAGGGTGCTGTCTTTCATCTTCTCAGGGCTCCAGGGAGCCCCTGCCTAAAATGAAGTAAGGGACCCTTTCTTCACCTCAGGGCCTGGCTTAGGGGAAGGCTTTGACACCCAAATGGTGAGCACATCTATCTAAGCCTGGGAAAGGCTTGTCATCCTGAGCCTCCATGACCCCAAAAACATAACAAAGAGGCCAACCTTTTAAGAGGGCCTTAGGGAAAATCACCCCCTCCTCTCTCCTCCTCCCAGTGTTTTATAGAGTAATAGCAGGTTATGATAAACATAAAGGGCAGTCTTGAAGGGCAAATGTACAACTAGAATCTGGGAAAGGGAAGGGTAACTCCATAGCTCCAGTGTTTTGGGGTTTTCTGTGGGGTAATGGAGGGTAGATTGATTAAAAGACTGATTTAAATAATTCTTCAGGGGAATACAAAAGAACCCTAAAATTCTCTGCTCCCACCCCACTCCAGCTCCTGCAGGGCTGGGGAATTCCTAAGGCTTTCAGATGTAGAACTCTATGAATACATTTTCTCATCTTCTCAGGGATTCCCTCTTAGTCATCGCCCAACCCCAAGGGTCTCTCCCTCTGGATTGGCTCTTTTATCTACACCTGAAAATCAGAGTGAGAATGGACCTCAGAGAGCATCTTGATCAATGAGTCTGCTTTTATAGATGAGGAAACAAGCTTTGTGCTATTTCCTTTCTTGTCCTGTTAAACTTTCTCCCAATCACTCAGCTAGAATATAGCAGGGTCAGGATTCAATTAGAAAATTTTGGAATTGGAGGATGGCTGTTTATTTCCTCCTGCCTCCCCATTCTCAGCTGCCTGTCAACCTTAGCTCCACCATTATAATCCTTATCATCCCCAGGTTTCCGTGAGAGTGCTTTCTCCTTCTCCATGTTGGCGGCTGGAGTCATGCATGCTGTTGCCACTGCCTGCAGCCTGGGCAAGCTGGTGAGCTGTGGCTGTGGCTGGAAGGGCAGTGGTGAGCAGGATCGGCTGAGGGCCAAACTGCTGCAGTTGCAGGCACTGTCCCGGGGCAAGAGTTTTCCCCACTCCCTGCCCAGCCCTGTCCCAGGCTCAAGCCCCAGTTCTGGCCCCCAGGACACATGGGAATGGGGTGGCTGTAACCATGACATGGACTTTGGAGAGAAGTTCTCTCGGGATTTTTTGGATTCCAGGGAAGGTCCTCGGGACATCCAGGCACGGATGAGAATTCACAACAACAGGGTGGGACGCCAGGTATGTTTGTGGGCCTTATCCTGGTTTCCTTTGCTATTAAGGTCAGGCTAGAGTGTGAGAAGCCCAGAAGCCCAGCAGAGTAAGAGGATGAGGTGTGGTGGGTGATCTCCATTTGCCATCAGCAAGTCACCCAGCCTTGGATTTGCATCTGTACAAAGAATCTGATGATAACCATATCACAACATCTTTAAAGCTAAGCTAGCAAATAGGGTACCCCACACAGTGCCTAGTCCTTGGCTTGTTACACGGTGGCTGTTATTACAGCTGCCTTCCCTAAAGACCTGAGGGGCACTCTGGGCTACACTTTCCATTTTACCAATCTTACTCTGGACTGAGAGTCCAGAAAACTGGAGTTGAGTTCTGGTTCTGTTACCAGTTGGTGATCAAAGATGGGCAAATCCAACCAGGTGTGGTGGCACATCCCTGTAATCCCAGCTACTCAGGAAGCTTAGGCAGATGAATCACAAGTTTGAGGCCAGCCGGAGCAACTTAACAAGACACTGTCTCAAAATAAAATAAAAAGGGCTTTTGTAGGCTAGTGGTAGAGCACACCTGGATTCAATACCCATTATCATATTCTGCCCCCCCAACTCCCCCACTCCGACATACCCACACAAAACAAATCACTTAGTGATTTAGTTCAATTATACGATGGCTTCAGTTCAATTATATGATGAGGGAATTGAGCTATTAGCTAACTTTAAAATGCCCTTTCTCTTCTGATATTACATTTGTTCCTCCTTGTGTTCTCTGTTTCCTTCCCTTTCCTATGTCTACATGCTCTTTCCATTTGCTGCCTCCCCTTCACCTGTGCCCCTCTGATGCTCTAGGTGGTAACTGAAAACCTAAAGCGGAAATGTAAGTGCCATGGCACTTCAGGCAGCTGCCAGTTCAAGACATGCTGGAGAGCGGTCCCAGAGTTCCGGGCTGTGGGGGCAGCATTGAGGGAGCGATTGGGTCGAGCCATCTTCATTGATACCCACAACCGCAATTCTGGAGCCTTCCAACCCCGCCTGCGTCCTCGACGCCTCTCAGGAGAGCTGGTCTACTTTGAAAAATCTCCTGACTTCTGTGAGCGAGACCCCACAGTGGGCTCCCCAGGCACAAGGGGCCGAGCCTGCAACAAGACCAGCCATCTGTTGGATGGCTGTGGCAGTCTATGCTGTGGCCGAGGGCACAATGTGCTCCGGCAGACAAGAGTTGAGCGCTGCCATTGCCGTTTCCACTGGTGCTGCTATGTGCTGTGTGAGGAGTGCAAAGTCACAGAGTGGGTCAATGTATGTAAGTGAGGGTGAGCCTGACCCTGGCACTAGGTAAAGGTACTGTGTGAAAGGGCAGCTTTTCAGCCCTTTGCTCTGATTTCTGTTTAGGGTCAATCTTGACACCCTGGAAGTTCAAAGTATCTATCTGGAAATGGCTTTGGGAGTGGTGAGGTTTAGGTGAGGTCTGTGATGTGCGGCCTTTTCCCCATAGTTGCAGGGTGGTTGGGGAAACTGTTACCCCTATTTTGCTCCTTAAACATCTGAATGGACTAAGATGAAATGCACTGTCATGCTCCCCTCTTCTCAAATCCAGGGCCCCTTCTCAACTCCAGGCTTCTGTTGTTCATACTCCTTTTGGTGTGGGGGGGGATATTCCTTAAGGTTTGGCTGTCCTCTCCCTTAAGGGATAGTCCAAGCATTGTGTGGAGCCATTAAGACCAGTTTCTAGAAAGGAACCACCACTCATGTTAGCTTTCCCATAATTCTCTACCACAGCCTAGACTTTCTCTTGTGGGGTCAAGGGAGACAGTAGGAGTAGAGAAGTTTTTCTTGGGGAAGGAACAGAGTACTAGAGAGTACTCTCCCACAAATCTCACAAAAACTATCCATGTAGACCCTTAGGGAAGTTGTTTCCTTCCATTCAGATGTTAAAGGGGACCTGCCAAAGGAAGGGTTTACCTAAGATTCTTGGAGCCTGTTTTTTCTTCTTTAGCAGGAGGAATGGGAATGGATAATTTATTGTACTGAGACTTGTTCTTGGTTCCAGTTTGAAACTAAAATAAATTAAGTTACTGAACTGGTGGATGTACATGGTGATATATTTAGCCAAAGTTGGGATCTTATTCCATAGTTTCTTTTCCAGGTGATTTCTCCTACCCTCCTATACTCAATGACTTTATATACACACATCCTATTGAGTTCTACAAAGGATTTGAAATCATCCTCAGTAACTTAGTTGGCATCCTTTTCTTTGTGAAACCAGGGGTAGGGTTTACTTCTAGGTGGCATTAGAGATCCAAATGTAGACCCTGTTTAGTATTTGTGTACCTCAACTTCAGATGTTATCTTGATCACTGCCTAAAACAAGTTTGGCATTTTTTTCCCTATAAAAGGCAAGATAGTATACATATTGGGCTATCTACATTGTAATCTTTGTCTCAATTATTCAACTCTGCTCTTATGGAGCAAAAAGTAGCCATAGATCATACATAAATGAATGGGCATGACTAAATTCAATAAAACTTAATTCACAAAATTTGGCTGCAGGACTGATTTGGTCCTCTGGCTGTAGTTTGATGACCTCTACCTGTATTATGAGTTTTTCTTTGGAGTTTTAAATTCTTAAAGGTATTTCAGCATTGAATGTGAACCCAAAAGAGCAGGTCCCTCTTAGTCTCCAAACCAGAGAATTTGGGAGATAGATGTAAGACTGACGGGAAGCATAGAAAAGGGATTCCTATGTCAAAATGAGTTGTTCGTCCCACTCCAAGCCAGCAAAAAAACAGTATGCTCTCCCATTGAGTTTACTGCCTATGTATTTTTGTCCTTTTTTTTTGGTGTGTGTGGGTGTGTGGGGGGGTAGGGGTTGAACCAGGGGTACTTTCTCACTGAGCTACATCCCACCTCCCTTTTAATTTTTTATTGTGTAGCAAAATCTCACAAAGTATTGAGGCAGGCCTAGAACTTGTAATCCTTTTGCTTCAGCTTCTTGAGTTGCTGGGGCTACAGGTTTTAAACTACCCTATCAGGCTTGTCCTTTTTTTTCAGAATTCTTTTGCATTTAATCTTAGTAAAATAATTCTATTATTATTATTTGGTTCCAACCTCTCTTTTTCCAGCCTAATACCTTTGAGAGGCCAATTCCTAACTATTATACAACCAGGGAATGTCTAGTCCAATATATTTGAAAATAAACTTATCTTCCCATGATTCAGTGCTAAAAAGGGATATGCATTACACATTTAGAATTTTACAAATGACTAACAGGTCATGTCCTTTGCAAGGGAATGTAGAAATAGTTCTTTCCACTTCTCTAAGCAATAGATATTTCTGCAACCCAAATGACCCTCAAATCAGGTGAAATGAGAGTAGTACTGGGGTAGCTAGGAAATTTTGAGAAGTGTTGAGATAGGGCAGTAATTTATGACAACTTTTTTTTCCTTTTCTTTCTTTCTTAAAATGAATATATTTTATAATTTTATTTATTTATTTTTATGTGGTGCTGAGGTTCAGACCCAGTGCCTCACACATGCTAGGCAATTGCTCTACCATTGAGCCACAACCCCAGCCCCTCCTTTTATTTCTTAAAATTTTTTTTTGTTTGGGGGGGATACTGGGGATTGAATCCAGAGGCACTTTACCACCAAGCTTCATTCCCAGCCCTTTTTATTTATTAATTAAAAAATATTTTTTTGGGGGGAGCTGGGGTTGTAGTTCAGTGGTACAGCACTTGCCTTGCACGTGTGAGGCCCTGGGTTGGATCCTCAGCACCACATAAAAATAAACAAATAAAAATAAAGTTATAATTTTTTTTTTTTTGTACCAGGGATTGAACTCAAGGGCACTTAATGACTGAGCCACATCCCAGCCCTTTTATTTATTTTGAGGCAGGATCTTGCTAAATTGCTTAGGGTCTTGCTAAGTAACTGAGGCTGGCTTTGAACTTGTGATTCTCCTGCCTCAGCCTTCTGAGCAGCTGGGATTATAGGCTTGCACCACCACATCTGGCTTATTTTTTTAATTTTATGACAGAGTCTTAGTAAATTGCTAAGGCTGGCCTCAAACTTGCGATCCTCTTGCTTTAGCCTTCCAATCCACTGAGATTACAGGCCTGTGCATGGGTACCTGCCCAGCTTATCTTTTCTTTTCTCTATCTTTTTTGTGGTTCTCAGGATTGAACCCAGAGCCTCATGCACGCTAGGCAAGCACTCTATCACTGAGATCGCCAACCCTATGGCGATGTTTTATGTCCTGAATTTTAATTTGAGCATGAAAATTCTGGATTTGGTAGTTCCTAGGTTCCAGAAATTATACCATTCTTACTTTAGGCATTTGTTGTAAGCATTGGGGGTGGTGGCGGGGAAGGAAGGTGGCTAGAGTGGGCATAGGATATAGAGAGAATAATGATAAAGAATATCCAGAATGGGAATTTCTCACATTTAGCAAGAAGAAGGAGAATTTCCAATGGAGTTGTAGCAAGAATACGTCAGCTTTTTCCTTTTTCTGTAGTCCCTTTGGCTCTTTTTCTAGCTTTCCCTCTTCTTTCATCAGACACACTCTGTGACAAACATAAGCCCCAAATCACAACCTTGACGAATTTCAAATGGATTTTGTCAGCAAGGCCTACACCTCCCTGCTCCATTTCTAGCACATGTGCTGGGCTCAGGCCCAGGCCTGGAGTCAGAGATGGAGTGGGAATATGTAACCCATACAGCTGGTGCCTACAATTTCAGCTTTTACTAGGCTCCGGAGAGAGGAAAAAGACTGATGAACTGTAAGGCTTCTGGGTGTCCTTCAGCTTTGGATGAGCTCTTTCTTTACCCTTTATCAGGTGGCTGGAAAACTGGGTGCGGCAGTGGTCAGCTAACTGCCAACTAGGCAGCACTCCTATCTCTGTTCCTGTTTGTTTCTTGGGTGGCCCCCTCTTATGCTACAACAGACATTTTCTTCTCCTTACTCCAGAGGGGTGATGTATAGATGAGCTAGGAGAGTCTCTAGTCCCATTTATTAGTCCTGAGTCAAATATCATGACACTTGCTGATAACTATATTAGGTTGTCACCATTTCCACCCTGTCATACCTGGGATATGATTTTGAGATTATTTGAAATCTTGGGCAGACATCCATTAACAGTTTCCATTTCCTTATCAGACTCTCACAAGGTATGTTGGTCTGGTTAGAGCACCAGGGAAGAGGTTATTGTAGAGCATTATTTTGGTGGTTAGTATGGGAGTATGACCTGGTGAGAGGTGTTGCTAGAAATTTTTGTTACAGTAACTATGTCCATTTCTAGAAAGGGTTATATATAAAGATATCACAAGTCCTACTCTAGTAGTGTGTAATAACATTGGAGAAGTCTTTTGCTTTTATAAACACAGAACTTAGCAGGGCAAAGACTCTTAATAGGAATGGGCCAGGACAGATATTATCCTTGTTATCTATCTCATCTCTCACCATTTTAAATTAGGGTCTTCTTGGCTTCACATTCCAAGGTCATGTTATTCTTTGGGAAAACAAGACTTTGGGAAAAGAAGGGTCTAGTGAGTGCATAAACCAGGGCCTGATGGGGTCAAGGGGATAGACATAATTAGGCTATCTACTAGTCTAGGCCTTCTTAGATGAAGACAAAAAACAAGGAATAAAGTTCAGAATAAAAATTTTGGCTCATGCTTGAAGGATGAGGCATGTGTTCCTTTACACTGCTGTAAATGAGAGGGAACCTAAAGAACTTTCTGTTCTTAGCATTATTAGTGCCCTTCTAGCACAGCTTCTATCACAGCTGTGACTGTTCCAAGGCACCTCTGCATGTGTGGAACAGGTGCAAAAATAAGTGTGAGAGAAGTGGGGATGGGTAGGAAGTGAGAAACATGGGTGTAAAGACCTTCACTTTTCCTCTTGATGCTAAAACCCACATTAATCTAGATATATTTCCCCAGACAACAACTCTGAATATTAGGCTTCAGCCTTTTGTTTTTCAAGTTCCAGTTTCCTAAATGACCTAGAATCCAGTTTTTTTTCTTTTAGTCTCTTGAATTAATTCCTCTCCCTCCTCTTCCTTGTGGGAAAGGATCTCTTGATTCAGGTCTTGCTGTAATATAGTCTTAGGAATAGTGAGTAGCAAAAACGGTGCAGCTGTCAGGGGTATGCAGGTAGCCCAGGATAAGAAATAAAGGAGTCTGGCACAGTAAAGCAGGCCGCAGCAAAGACTGTTCACCCATATTCCGTTTATAGCTTTGCCCATGGTGCCCCTGTACCTCTTGGCTCAACCTGTCTCCAGTGCAATCAGCAAGTGACCTCAGTCCTTTAAATTCTAGGCATGGCTCTGGGGCGTGAGGGGTCTCACCTCAGTCCTCACTGTCGCATGCCCATTCCCAGGCTCCAGGCTCCCGCCTCCGCCGCCTGCAGCCTCCAGCCCCCACACCAGCCCCCGCCTAGATTCAAGCTCCAGTGCTGGGCTGCTTCTGCTGCAGCCGCTGCCATGGTGATGGGTCTCGCGAGAATTGCCGCTTGGTACCGTGCAGCTATCGCGCGATCGTGGAGGTGGGAAGTATCCTGGGCTGGGGGTGGGGGTGCGCCGCACAGCTCCTGTCGCGGTCGCGGCTTCCGGTGCTAGGTGGAGGGAAGGAAGGAGGGAGCTGGGGAACGGGCTAGGAGAGCAGCGGCGCAGAAGTCGGCTTGGGGAGCCGGAGGAAAGAGAGCGGGAGCCGAGCGGAACCTGCGGGGGCGGAGGCGGCGGTAGCAGCGGCAGAGCTGGGAGCTGGAACAGGTGAGGGGCTGGGGAGGGAAGGCGGGTCCCCTTAGAGGGAAGAGGTTCGGTCAGGTTGGGGGCTGAGGAGATAGAGCGGCTCCGCCCGGCACTGCCTGACATGGAGCGGTGTAGCTCTTCTCATCCCAGAGCTCAGAGAGGGGCGTCGGACCAGCCCCATGCCTGCCCCCGCATTTGAAGGACGCGGAGCTGGGATGGGGGTGGGGGGGGCAACACCGAATTTGTCCTCCGCCTCGCACAAGGGGGCAACCTGGGCTGCAGTTAGGTTTTCCTAGCCTTCAGGTGGTGGGCTTTCAAGGGGTGGGGGTTGA